GTAAAAAATGTCATATCCTAAATATCCAGTGCAGTGGGCTTTCAGGGGACACATCTGTGTGACTGGAACCTAGATCAAGAAGTAAAATGTTGCCGGGGATATAGCTCAGCGGCATAAGTGCCTACTTGGTAAGCGCAAGGTCCTGAGTTCGATTCTTGGTAAAAAAAAAAAAAAAAAAAAAGAAGTAAAATGTTGGCAGCACCCCAGAAAGCCTTCTGATCACCCCAAGGCTAAATGTAACCCTGATTTCTGATGCTGAAGCGGACCCTGTCTCATTTATCGCGGCGGAGTTGATGTTTTCCAGAGTTAGTGTACCGCAGTGTGTATGTCTCCATGTGCCTGTCCGTAGATAATTACGGTTGCTTCCAAATGAGCCCAGGGCTGCAGTGAACGGTCTTGTACATGGCTTTTGGTACATAGACACACATTTCTGCGGAACTGCTGGGTCCTAAGGTTGCTGTCAATTAATGTGTTTAGATCCCCGCCCCCATTAAATACCTTGCATTGGGACATCTCTAGTGGTTGTTGCCTAATATTTTTTCAAACTGGTATTCTGGGGGTTTTGTTTTGTTTTGAGACAGGGTTTTGCTATATATAGTGCAGGCTGGCCTTGAACTCACTGTGTGGCCCAGGCTGGCCTTGAACTCGTGCTAAGTCTCCTGCCTCAGCCTTGTTTTGTTTTGTTTTGCTTGTGAGACGGCATCTTCCTGTGCTGCCGAGGCTGGTCTCGGACTCAAGGGAAGCTGTGTGCGCTGCTCAAATAGATGGAACTACAAGTGTGTGCCAGTCCTTTTAATTTGAGATCTTTACTTGTGGAACAGACTGGTATCAAACCGCCGGTGTTTGAATCCAAGTTCTTTTAACCTGACCTTTGAGGGCTGGGGCATGGCTCAGTGGCAGATCATTGGTGTGTTCCAGGCCCTGGGTTCAATACCCAACACTGAGAACAAAATAAAATAAAAGCTGTGTCCTTTAGCAAAGCCTAGTGTCTGTTTACAAGACAGGTTCAAAGTCACAAGGCTCTTGTGAAGATTCTGTGGACCTGCAGCTGGAAAGTGCTCCATAAACGTTAACTATTGGTTTTTAACCCTCACGAGGGTCTTCCAGAGCCTCGCAGGACCTCAGTCTCTGATTTGTGAGATGGTGAAAATACTGACATACTCTTGAACCGGGTGTGGTGGCGCACACCTGTAACCTCAGCACTTGGGAGGCTGAGGCAGGAGGATCACCCTGTGTTTGAGGCCAGTCTGGGTTACATAGTGAGTTCAAGGCCAGCCTGAACTGCATAGCAAGACCCTATCTCAACGAAAGAGTACCAAATAGTTGCTTTTCCAAGTTTTTGTTTGGTATCGGGGGTGGGGTGGGGTTGAATTCAATGCTTTTGCACTGAGCTACATCCCCAGCTGTTTTTCAAAATGTTTTATTTTGAGATGGGGTATTGTAAAATTGCTAAATTGCCCGGGTTGGTTTCGAACTTGAGATCCTTCTGCTTAAGCTTCCTGAGATTACAGGCATGCGCTGTCATACTTGGCTCTTTTCTAAAGTTTTAAATTCCCTTGTTTTGTTATGTTGAGACAGGGTCTCACTAATTGCCCAGGCTGGCCTTGAACTTGCAATTCTGCTTCCGCTTCCCAAGTAGCTAAGAGCGTGCCACTGAGCCTGGCAGATTTTTAAATGATGGCTTTTTTTTTTTTTTTTTTGAGACAGGGTCTCGCTATGCAGTTCAGGCTGGCCTTGAGCTCATTTTGTAGCCCAGGCTGGCCTTGAACTTGCGATGATCCTCCTGCCTCAGCTTCCCAAGTGCTGGGATTACAGGCGTGCACCACCATGCCTGGCATGGCAGTTTTTAACTTTGGTTCAAGTAAAAATTAAACACCCCAACATATCAATTGTTGTGTCTACAGCATAGCCCAGAGTTGTTGGTCTGTTAATGTGTTTTAAACTGCCCCTCCTCATTAAATATCTTGCACTGGGACAAACGCATACATTTTTTTCTGTGTGATGGCTGGCTGGCTGGCTGGCTGGCTGGCTGGTGGGTGGGTGGATGGGTGGATGGATAGAGTGTCTAATAGATTCATGTAACATAAGCTCATTCAGTCAACGACTACCCACTTGTGTATTTGCACTTAAGGAGGAAATGGGCTATGGAGAGAAATAGGGTATGATTCCTGCTTGCAAGGAATTTGCCATCTAGTGGGAAGAGGAGACCTGTGCACCACTTACACGGCACCAGGAGCAGAAGGAAATGATCCTTGTATTGATCGGAACCAGGGTTGTGGGGACTCAGGTGGTAACCTGGAGACCGGGGAAGATGTCCAAGGGGGAAGCACTTTCCCCTTCCGCCCTCTGCAGATCAGCCAAGATGGGCAAGCTCATGACAAGCGGGCACAGTTGGGGGAAGAGCCCTAGAGCTGAGGCGGGGATGCCGGCAGGGCACCATGTCAGGTGGGACCACTGGAGACGACCAGTTCTTCTCGATCCAGTCAGGACCTTGTCCTGTAGCTCCAGGGACCGTGAACTGGGCTTGTTTGTTTTAGAGGCTATAAACTCCAGGCAGAGGTTAAAAGAGGGCAGATGGGAAGGCAGCAAGAGGTGAGTCAGGCCAGCTCACACCAAGCCTTCACTGCTGACTGGCCAGGGCCATCCTGCACCCGCTATGTCAGAATTTGTGGACATCTCCCATTTTGCTTACTTTAGTACTTTTGTTTTGTATTAAGAATTGAACCCAGGGCCTTTGCACTGAGCTACATCCTCAGCTCTTTTTTTAGTTTTTATTTTGAGACAGTCTCATTAAATTGCCCAGGCTGTGATCCTCCTGCCTCAGCCTCCCAGAGTGCTGGGGTTGCACATGTGTCCCACTGCACCCAGCTTCAGTGTTGTTTTGCTTGGAATTTCATAGGCAGGGCTGTCTTTTCGGTACTGGGGCCCCCAGTGGTGTTACAGACCCTACAGAGGGCTGGGAAGGCAAGGCGTGTGGGGTGAGGGAGGGAACTCACCTGCGATCCTCCCACTGGATGCAGATCAGCTCAAGGAAGCCTCTGGAATGGAAGGGAACTGCGCTGAGATTTTTCCAGCAGCAGGAGGCCGGGGAACAGGAGGTTGTGGTGGCGCACGCCTGTAATCCCAGCACTCTGGAGGCTGAGGCAGGAGGATCGTCATGAGTTGGAGACCAGCCTGGGCTACAAAGTGAGCGCAAGGCCAACCTGAAATGCATGGTGAGACCCTGTCTCAAAAAGACCAAAAAACAAAACAAAACAAAACAAAACAAAAGGAGGCCAGGAACAAGCTGGAGGGAACTGGGGATACTGAGGCAGAGACTTTGAATCAAGGATAATTAAAAATGCTGAGCCCTAAGAAGCCACCCATTTTCCAGGGGGAGAGACAGAACCCCAGTAAGGGAGATTTGCCTGTGATCATGGAGTTAGTGGCAGAGCAAGGATTGTTTAGGGTCTCTGCTTGATCCAGGGCACCTATCCTGCCCACAGACAGTGGCCCACCAGCTCCTCCAGTGTCCACCCTTTCTCCAGGTGTTCCCCAAGTTACCCAGTGTCTGGTGTGGGGGTTCAAAGACCCCAGAACATAGTCCTGCCTCAAGGGGCCGGCAGAGCCGGCGAAAAACTGGACAGGAGCCTAAGGGGAAAGCTACAACTCTGTCACTCTCTGCGAGGATCCCAGAAGGGCCCCTTGGCAATAGCCAACTTGGGGGACCCCGGGAAACCCCCACCGATGGCGGCAGGAGTGGGCAGGGAGAACAGACTCCCCACCCAGGGCAGCAGGGAGCCAGCAAGAGACAGGTGGCCATGGTAGGGACAAACAGTACCCGGCCAGGGGAGGGCACGGAAGGGCTGCCTGTGAAGAGCCCTGACACACGGTGTCACTCCTCAGCTGGTTCCCGAGGCCCTCTGGATGCTGCCAGTGTCACCCTGGGCTGTGTGATCCTAACATAGAAAGTGTCCCACATGCCTATAGTAATCCCAGCAGGAGGAGGCTGAGGCAGGAGGATTGAAAGTTGGAGCTCAGCGTGGGTGACTTAGTGAGGCCCTGTCTCAAAAACTATATATATTTTTTTTTTTTTTTTTTTTTTTTTGGCTTTTTCTCCTGTACCAGGAACCGAACTCACGACCTTGCGCTTGCCAGGCAGGCACTTTGCCGCTGAGCTAAATCCCCAGCCCTCAAAAACTATAAAAGAGCTGGGGGTGTAGCTCAGTGCAAAGGCCCTGGGTTCAATCTCCAGTATCAGAACAAAACAAAACAAAACCACCAAGAATGTGTGGCCCGTTCCCAAGGTTCTAACACACAGCTAATCCCCTCCTGCTGGTTTCCCTTGTGACCACACACAGGACACACTGTGGGCAAGGCCAAGGCTAGATTTGTCCCCAGTCCGCCCCCGCCGGTAAAAGTCCCGGGAATCAAACTCAGGACCTTGCGCTTGCCGGGCAGGTGCGGTGCGGCTGGGCTATAACCCCTGGCCGACCCGTAGGGCCTTGCAGTCTTGCAGGATTCACACGCGGGGACCCTGGGAACTTCTGTGTAGAGGTAGCAGTGATCGCAAAGGTCACTAGGGGTGCTAACAAGCTCGCGTGAGCCGGGCTTTTAGGGTCATTGCCTGTGTCGACCCCACAGACTCCGGAGAGGTGGGGGCTCCCGGCTGTGCCGAGGACCGAGACGTGACGGGGGGGGGGAGGGGAGGTAACGTGAGTCGAGCTGGGGCAGGCGGGTAGTAGTTAGGTAAGGGGGTAATGCCCCACTGGATGCCCGAACCCCAGGCACTGAGGCGCTTTTAGGATCAGGAGGTGACAGTTGACCCTTCTGGAGGTGGTTGGATGGGGCTCTCAAACGGTCACAGCACAGCGAGGGGAGATCTGCGCAGACCCGCGGGAGCTCCGGGGCTCGCACTTGGGGTATTGATTACACTATACCCGCCCCGCCCCCTCCCAGGCCCCTGCGCCTAGGCCACGCCCACGCAGTTGGCCTATCGCACGAAGGGGGCGGGGCCATGCTAATAAGGCCGAGCTGGCCACCTGGATCCCGCAAGTGGCTCCGCGGAGCGCAGGCGAGGCGGTCGCGGTAGGGACCATGGCCCGGGCGCTGGCCGGTCTGGCCTCGAGCTTGCAGGTCCCGCGGGTCGTCTCCAGCCCCGATTCGGACTCGGACACAGACTCGGAGGACCCGGGTCTCCGGCGCAGCGCCGGCGGCCTGCTCCGCTCGCAGGTCATCCACAGCGGACACTTCATGGTGTCCTCGCCGCACAGCGACTCACTGACGCGGCGGCGCGACCAGGAGGGACCCGTAGGGCATGGCGACTTCGGGCCGCGCAGCATCGACCCCACACTCACCCGCCTCTTCGAGTGCTTGAGCCTGGCCTACAGGTGAGGGCGGCTCCGGACCCGACGGCTGGGCTCTCCGCTGTGGGCACTCTGGGCGGCCCTGGGCACCCCCGCGCGCCTGGTCCCCATTGCTGCAGGGGCTCTGGCCACCACGGGGCGTCCCGTCCCCAAGCTCTCAGCGTCTCTGACCCCGGCCCAGCCAGCCGTCCCCCGGTGGACCTGTCACCTTTCCCCGTATCCTCCTCGGGTCTCTCTCCCTGGTTCTCTGTCCCTAAGGAAATGCGTGACATCCCTCGCTCTCCCAGGACGCTAGGTCACCCTGGCACATCCCCACCCTGCATCCCCGGGCTATTCCAGGTGTCTGCCTGCTACGGACCCAACTTCCTGCCCAGCAGCCCCCGCGGAGACCCGCTCTTTTCCTGCACCCCTGCACCCCGTAATACTCTCAGCGCCCTTGTTTGCCCCAGTTTTTAAAGAACTGGTGATTGAACGCAGGGCCTTTGCACTGAGTTACATCACCACCCATTTATTTTTTTGTTTTGAGGCAGGGTCTCACTAAATTGCCAATCCTTGGCTCCAATTTGGGATCCTCCTGCCTCAGCCTCCCACCGTGTTAGGACTACAGGCGTGCGCCGCCATGCCGGGTTTGGTTGCCCCAGTTCGCGGCTAGCATCGACTGAAACAAACTGAACCAGTCTTGCCACCACCATCCCCCCACGCGCATCACTGGGACATCTTTTCTTGACCAGCTAGAACGAGGGTGGCAGGAGGGGGATGCCCCGGATTGGCCCAGAGGGGCGCTCGCAGAGGTTGTGGGCCCAAGCACATCAAGGGGTGCTGCAGGCTGCCCTAGGCTGCTGCGGGGGAGGCCGCGAGCCTGGTGAAGTCGGGGACCCCAGCTTGGCGTCCCAGATCTCGCGGGCCGCACCCGGCTCCGGCTCCACGCCCGTGTCCCGGAGGAGGGCGCGAACCAGGGTCCTGGCCCAGTGCCTTGGACCAAAGTTCCCTACAGCGGAGGGGCCGGGATAAATTATCAACCAAAAACAGTAGAGAAGAAATGGGGATCGGCCGGCCTTGATCTTTTTTCTCTATGCAAATACTCCTCTTCCTCCGCGGCGCCTCCTCCCCGCTGGGAGAACCGCTGGCCACCTACCGGCGCCTGTCGCCACCTCCGGGACCGGGAGCCGGGGTGGGCTTTGAGGAACCGCTTCTCTACCCGCGTCGTGCGGCAGCGCGACCCCATTGGCTGGAGGCAGAGTAACCTTGGCCCACAAGCCCTGGCCACCAGCCCAGGTCATGTTGCAACCTGATCGTGCTGGGCGCCCGACCGATGTGGAAAGTTCAGATTCCCGTCCCTTTCCCCCCTCCCGCCCTGAACATCACGAGACCGCCCTGCACGGGGCATCTGAGGTCCGGGACAATGGCCGTGGCCCCACTCCCCAGCCCCTCCCCCGGGACCCCCCATGTCCCAGCCACTCTGTCCTCCGCTTCCAGGCTTTTGCTGCACTGGCTCTGCTGCTGCTGGCTGGCCACTGCCCAGTACCCGCTCCCCCATGGGTGACCAAAAGGGGGGATCCTGGGGAGGCAACAAGTGAGAGACAGCACACCCCAAGAACTGCCACCACAAGAGGTGGATGAGAGGCTGGTCTGACCCCCAGCCAGAGGCAGCGGGGGTGAAGAGGGCTACATCTTGACTCAACTCCCAGAATGTTAAATCCCCCTGCCCTGGGAGGGGAGCTAAGCACCAGGAATGGGGGTGCCTCAGGCCTCCAGAGACTTTGTTGCCCCATTTGGCTGAGAAAACAGGCTCAGGCTGGGACAGCATTTTAGCTTTCAAATGCCCCTCATTAAAGGGGTGTGGTAGTGCACTCTTGTAATCTGGTGAGGCTGAGGCAGGAGAGTTTAAGGCCAACCTGGGCTACACAGAGAGACCTTGCCTCAAAAAAATAAAATAAAGGGTTTCCCTGGAGGAGGGAGGATCTGGGAAGCCAAAGATCCCCGGGGAGGACTGACAGGAAAGGAGCTAGGCAGGGGATCCAGAAGGAGTCGGGAGGAAGTGGTCCTTGGACCAGGAGGAAGACAGCCTGCAGGCACCTGGCCACTTAGCTCTCTGGCGTGCAGGGTGGGGAGCGGGAGGACGATTCTAGGACTCTGTTCTGTGGGGTTCTGGGAGTGCAAGCCCCCCAAGTTAGGCTGCAAAGGCTGCAAGGAACAGCTTGTTGCTGGGCAGAGCTGGCTGGCTAGGGAAAGACTGGCCTCGGACAGGGCTGGGGACAGGGCCGAGGCGGCAGGGCCTGTCGGGCTCCCTGGTGGGAAATCCTGCATGCTCAGGGGCTGAACTGAGTTCGGAAGGTTCCACCGCCCATCGCCAAGTCTCCCATCTTTCCATCGGTCACAAGGAGCTTTTGAACCTTGGCCCTGGGCTTTGTCCGCCAGGCTGGGCCACTCCCCTCCCATCCAGCCAACCAGATCCTTTCCTCCGGGCTTGGCTATTGTCACTCTGTCCCCCAGCCATGGTGGGGCCTCCAGCCTCAGCAGGGAGGGGGAAGAGGGGAGACAGGCAGGCTGGGTGGCACTTTGGGTGGTCTGTGGGCTGGAAGGTTGCTGGGATACAGGCTGGGGGTGACAAACTCAAGAGACCCCTGACCAGGTGTCACAAAAGAGCCTGGCCCAGGAGGAGCGGATCCTCCCCGCCCGCCCACTGGCCATGTCCCCTTACCAGACAGATGGTGTTTGTCTAACTGCAGGGTGGAGGGGACTGGCCCGTGGGGCAGGGCCCCGGCTATGTGCTGTATTTGGGTAATAAGGCCTGCTGTCCCCTGAGATGGCAATCCCTACCTTCCCCCCCTGCGGCCACCCCCCCCTCCCAGAGCAAACACAGGAGCTTGGAGACCAGAGAGGAATGGGGACCCAATGAGCCGTGCACCCGAGGAGGCGCGCGGGGAGCGGAGCTGAGGAGTCAGGCCCGCCAGAGGGTAGACCCCGCCTCTGCATGTGAGCCGGGCTTGGAGAGGCGGGGCCAGAGGACTCCTGTGCTGAAGGGGCCTCTAGACCCTGAAGAAGGAGGGGGGGACCCACAGGAGCCCAAGACCCTGAGTATCTCGGCCTCCTGGGTCCACTTCATGGTAGTGATGGACTTGGCTTATCTGGTTTCCAGAGAGTCAGGTCAGCACTTCCAAGAAGCACTGGCACTCCATGAACTTTGCTTTTTTGTAGTACTGGGAATTGAACCCAGGACTTCTGCACTGAGCAACAGCCCCAGCCCTTTTTAGTTTTCATTTTGAGGCAGGGTCTCGTTAAGTCACTAAATTGCCTAGGTTGGGTTTGAACTTGGGATCTGCCTGCCTCAGCCCCACCCCCAGAGTGCTGGGATTACAGGTGTGTGCCGCCACAGCTGGCTTACCCCGTGAACTTGGTGGCCGCTAGGGTCTGAGGGTGCTGCCTCTCTTCTGTCTGTCCTTGGGTCCTGAGGGCTGTTTTCATTATGATGTCCCTGCGGAGGACCCACCTTCCAGCTTAGTCCAGAGTACCATCCTGGGATCATAGGTGACAGTGCTGTGCTGCTCTGAGGCCTCCACTGGGGAACAGACTCCCTCTATATCCAGCAAACTGTCCCCATCCCCCAGGCCTAAGGGGGCCAGCGAGACATACAGAGAAAGCCACAGGCCCTGAGTGAGTCCCTGCCATGTGACCTTGGACACACCTCTTTCCCTTCTTGTCTCTCAGGAAGGTCATTTGTTGGTTTGTTTCTTTGTTTGTTTGAGACGGGGTCACTAGCCTTGAACTCACCATGTAACCCAAAATAGCCTTGAACTCAGCACAATCCTCCTGCCTCAGCCTCCCAAATGCTGAGATTACAGGCATGCTTTATTATTCCCAATCAGGAAGATCATTTCTGATTATTCTTAAATAAGAAATGCAAGGGGAGATGGAAAAATACATTTTTTTGAAACAGGGTCTCAGTCTACAATTCAGGCTGGCCTTGAACTACTGTGTTACCCAAGCTGGTCTCAAACTCACAGCAATCCTCCTGCCTCAGCCTCCTGAGTGCTGGGATTACAGGCATGCACCACCACACCTGGCTACAATGTGTTTTCAAGGAGAAGACACACTACTATTAATGTGCCTCAGACTCCTACCCCTTGCTTCAAATGCACTGATCCCATTCTTCTTGCCACTTCTGCAGCAGTTCTGGAAGTCCTCTTTTGTGAGAGTCTTTACAAAATGTGATTTAAAAAAAAATGCAGTACACGGCTGCCAAACGCCATCTGACAGAAAGGCAGACTTGTAAAAATATGGTGGTGTGTCCCCATCCACCTTATTCATCAGACCAGGCATCATGTGACTTCTGGCAGTTTCCCAAAGTCAAAATGACCATGAAAGAGAAACATGTTGAATTGATTCAGGACATCTGGGCAACCACGACAGTGCAGCTAAAGACCCTTGTGAAAGAGGACTTCCAGAGCTGCTGCAGAAAGTGCCAAGAATGGTGGGATCAGTGTGTTTGAAGGGAGGGGAAGTATTCTGTGGGGAACTCATAGCCATGGTCTTTCACTGTAATAATTTTTAAGAATTTAAACACACATTGTATTTCTCAATGAAACCTCGTAGGTCCAAGCCCTCTCCCCAGCCGGCCTAAGAGAGGGGAATCTTTGGGCCGCAATGGACCTTGTGGTTCTGAGCCGCAAGCTGACATGGAAGGCTTGGCTCGGCTATGGTTTGGGGAGCAGATGGACAGGAGGAGCAGATGGTGGGTGCCGGGGAGGGCATCTGCAAGGTCAGACTCCAGGGTAGGAGGTTCAAGCAGGTAGGTGAGGGGTGGGATTTGGGGTGCCTCGGATTCCACCCATAGATGGAAGCCTGCTGTGCAGGAAGTGGGAGAGGCACAACGCAGAGGTCCATCCTCACACCCCAGCCTCACCCGCCCTCTCCCGACAGTGGCAAGCTGGTCTCTCCCAAGTGGAAGAACTTCAAAGGCCTCAAGTTGCTGTGCCGGGACAAGATCCGCCTCAACAACGCCATCTGGAGAGCCTGGTATATCCAGTGTGAGTGGGCACCTCGGGCTCCTGGCGGCGGGGAGGACCTTGCCCCAGGCAGGGGCTGCAGGCAGAACCCCGGGGCCTCAGGGTGACGAGGCCCCCAGAGGGTCTCGGGGAATGTGTCTCAGGGTGCTTTCCTCGTGAATCCAGGCACGGCAGATGGCACATCTTGGAGCAGGCAAAGAAACCAGGGGTGGTGGTGCATGCATGTGATCTCAGCATGCTGGGAGGCTGAGGCAGGAGGATTGCAAGTTCAAGCTCAGCCTGGGCAATTTAGTGACTTAGTGAGACCCTGTCTCAAAATAAGAGATCCAAAAGGGCTGTGTGGATGTAGTTCGGTGCGAAAGCCCTGGGTTCAACCTCCAGAACTGCTAAAAAGAAAAAAGATAAGCTGAAATGTAGGGAGCTGCTCAAGGCCCATTCTGCAGCCTATGCCTCAGACCCAGGTGCCTCAGATGTCAGGGGACAAGCCCACATTAAATCACCTGGGCCAGGTGCATCACTTCTGTCAATGGGGAACCAAGGAGGGTCATACTAGAGTCTCCACCAGCCCCTGGAAGTCTTTACAGAATGCCCAGCAGTGGCCCCCATGGGCTTTAGGGAGAGGAGGCCCTGAGAGGCCATGTGGCATAAGGAAGGGACCCTGGTCTTAAGAGTCACCCAGAGAAGTTTTTCTGTCCTGTCTCTGACTTTTCCTGGCTGTGTGACTTCAGGCCAATTGCCTAACCTCTCTCAGCCTGTTTATCTAGAAAATGAGACTAATAGTCCTACCCTTCACAGTTCATGTGGGAACAATAGATACCCAAAGGCCTAGCATTCACTTGGCGTTCAGTAAATGATACACGCCAGGTGTGGTGCTTCATACCTGTCATCCCAGCACTGTGGGAAGCTGAGGCAGGAGGATCACAAGTTCAAGACCAGCCCAGGCCACTTAATGACTTAGTGAGATCCTATCTCAAAATAAAAAATTAAAAAGGGCCGGAGATGTAGCTCAGTGTAAAGGACCTGGGCTCAAGCCCCTGTACTGGAAACAAAGAGACAAACAAATATCCCAAAGAGTCACAGCCATGCTTTTGGTGACAGCCCTCTGCAGCAGGACATTGGAGGCTGAGAGGACTTGGCCCGGCTAGCCTGGGTGTGGTCCTGGTCCAGCTCCATTAGGTCCCTCACAGGATGGAAGCTGCATCGAGCCTGGGCCACACAGCCTGGGGCGGCACTGGGCTTGGCCTGGGTCCTCTCAGCAGGGCAGGGAGCGTCGTTTCGGGTTCTGTGCATCTAGTGCCGGGGCCGTTTGAGAAATCTCCTCTAGGGCGTCCCCGGAAACCTTGGGGGTGAGTATCTGGGCCCTGCTCTACGGTGTAGCCCCTGAGGGGGACCGCTCGTGACCTGCGGGGAGATGCAGGGCTCTTTGTGGGTGCTGGCTCCACGCCTCCCCGAGGACAAGCGGTCCCGCAGGGCGGGGGCTGAGGCTCTCTGGGAAGCGGAAGCCACCTGCCTCTTGGATGCCTTCCCAGAGTTCTGTGATTTCTGAGAACTTGTGTCACAGGCCCGGGCTAAACTAGGAAGCAGATAAGTCGGGGAGTCAGTGTCTGACCATCCCCAGGCTTCCCGACCCCTCAGGGCTGCAGGGGACCCAAACCCTCCACATTCTTTCTTTCCTTTTCTTTTCTTTTTTTTTGGTGGCACTAGGGATTGAACCCAGGGCCTTCACCCTGAGCAGCATCCCCAGCCCTTTATATCTATCTATCTATCTATCTATTTATTTATTTATTTATTTATTTATTTATTTATCTTTTTGAGACAGGGTTGCACTATGCAATTCAGGCTGGCCTTGAGCTCACTTTGCAGCCCAGACTGGTCTCAAACTTGCAATGATTCTCCTGCCTCAGCCTCCCAAGTGCTGGGATTACAGGCATGTGCCACCATGCCTGGCTGTTATTTTTTATTTTGAAACAGTGTCTCACTGAGTCAATAAGTTGCCCAGGCTGGGTTCAAACTTGGATCTTCCTGTCTCAGCCTCCCAGAGTGCTGGGATGACAGGTGTGTGGCACCATGCCCACCTTGCAGTTTTTGATATCAACTCTGGTAAGAGGTCCATGGGGTCTTTACCCAGACAGAGCTGGGTTTGAGCCCAGCCCTCGAAGGGCTGCTGGAAAGTCTGTGCCTCTCCCCAACCTGAAGCTGGTGCCTCTGTGAGATGGAAGTCTTGACAGTTCTGGCATCTGAGGCCGCTGTGAGTTTTCCATGAACTCATCTGTTTCTCAGCATTGAGCCTGGTGCTCACAGGCCCTTGGGCTGTGAGCAGCGGGCCCAAGGAAGAGTATTGCCATTGTAGTGGCAGCATACGTCAGGCTTATAACAGAGACAGTACTTTAGCTGGGTCTGGTGCCTATAATCCTAACACTTGGGAGGCTGAGGCAGGAGGATCTCCATGAGTTCAAGGCCAGCCTGGGCTACATAGCAAGACCCTATCTCAAAAACAAACAAATATAAAAGAGGACAAAGTCAGCACCCTCTTCCTCTCTAGACCACAGAATTTAAAGGTGAGTGACAGGGAGGGGGATGGGTGCTGCTGGAGAGCTACCTGACTCATCCTCCTTGCATTCTCATGACCTTAGTCTCGACCAGGAAGGGCCCCGCTGCCCCTCTGCAGGTCCCAGCTTCATACCCTTCCTTCCTGCCCACCACACTCTCCTCGCTCCCAATCCTCCCAGGCACTTTGCACTTCTAGGGAAGGAGGACTTTCCACCCGCTTTATCTGTGGGCTGTTTGTTTGCTCTCCTTATCAGTCCTCTGAGCTGTGAGCTATCGGCTGTGATTCATGTGGATCCCCGCACCCGCATCTGTCCCCGCGAAGGAGGGAAGGGTTAGAGAAGAACTTATCAGTGCAAAGCCAAGCCTGTGCCAGCCCAGGAAGCCACCTTGGCATAGTCCTGCTGTCCAGAGCACAAGGACCCTGGCGGGGGAGCAGGGAGAGCCAGGCTGGACCCCGGGTTCTCTGGGAGCCCCAGTGTCACACCGTCCTCAGGGAGTCCACACACCCACGGCCCCAGCAGCCGGGCCCAAGCCCCTCCTCCCATCCTGAGCACCCACTGGGGAGAGTGTCCTGCAGGGCGCAGCTGTGTAAATGATGCCGGAGGTCCTAATAAATGCCGTGTTCCTGTGGTCGCCCTCCTCTGTCCTCATCGGCCCCAAAGGAAGTTGGCTGAGGCAGGATGGAGCCTTGTGGCCTGGAAGGGTGAGAGTTAGGGTTAGTCCTCTTCATTAGGGTTGCCTCTGTGTGCACGCACGAGCGCGTGTGGCACTGGGATGGAACGCAGGGCCTTGCACACGCTAGGCAAGCGCTAACTACTAGGCAACATCCTTAAATTTTTTTTGGCCGGACGTGGTGGTGCATGCCTGTAATCCCAGCACTCGGGAGGCTGAAGCAGGAGAGTCACCTCAAGTTCGAGGCCAGCCAGGGCTACAAAGTGAGCTCAAGGCCGGCCTGAACTGCATAGCGAGACCCTGTCTCAAGAAAAAACAAAGCTTTGTTTTTTGTACCGGGAATGGAACTCAGGACCTTGTGCTTGCCAGGCAGGTGCTACGCCGCCGAGCTGTATCCCCAGCCCCAGGCCACATCCTTGCCGAAGGTCTGCTGACTGCCCTGCTCTGTTCCCGCAGCTGCTCCTGCCTCCACTCCTGGTGTAGGACAGCGCGAATCTGCAGATACTTGATAGGCGGGAAGGGTCAGGTCGGGGTAGAGGGGAGGCTTCCAGGAGGAGGCCTGGGCTGGAAGGGACAGGAGGGAGGGAGAGGACTTCCTCCCAAAATAAGGCCAAAAGGCGGGCTTGTGGCTTCAAGGTGGGACACAGAGCAGCAGTGGCAGGCAGGGCGAGGAGGAGCTGGGACACCAAGCTGAGGAGCGCAGTCCTTATCCTGGGGTCTTAGGGAGCCGCAGAAGGCGTCAGACCTGCAGCAGGAAGAAGGGCTGCAGAGTGTGATCCCTGAGTCAGGCCTTGTGTAGTTGAGTTTGTGCTTGGACTGGATGGGGGATGCTGGGAGCTGGCTGGGACTCCTTTTCTATTGTCTTTTTGAGGCAGGGTCTCGCTGTGCAGTTCAGGCTGGCCTTGAACTCACTTTGTAGCCCTTGCTGGCCTTGAGCTTGAGGTGGCCCTCCTGCCTCAGCCTCCTGAGTGCTGGGATTACAGGCGTGCACTGCCATGCGTGGTTCGTTGGGACTTCTTATGGCGAATTTGGGGTCGTACTGGCCAAGGACCCTGGGATGCAGGGTGGAGCTGTGAAGAAGCTGCACGGGAGAACTGAGGGTAGGTGCTCAGAGGGGTCAGTGTTTGTGACGGACAGCAGGAGGAAGGCAGGTCCCGGGACTCCCCGGGAAGCAGTGTGCAGCACAGGCGCAGGAGGACGGTGGCTGGGACCCGTGCTAGGCTTGAGGGGTGCGGAGCAGGCGGAGCTGTGCAGCTGAGAGGGCAGATGACAGCCTGGAGCTGGGGCAGAGTGAAGGCCGTGGTGTGTCGGGGGAGGGTAAGCGGAGGGTAAGGGAAGGGCTGGAATGGTGTATGGGCCAAAGGGAAAGAGTGCAGAGAGGGCAGGACTGGAGAAAGAGGTGCTGAGGGATTGGGACCAGGACTCAGGCAGGTGGCAGGTGGCAGTTGGGACATGGGTCTGGGCTGGTCCTCTGGGAATCGCTGTGTCCAGAGGTTACACAAAGGACCTTGGGACCTGTGGCCCCGTAATCTATTCAGCGGTCTCTGCCTGCACCTCTACCATGCTCCCTAAGGAAGCAGAGATGTAAAAGAGGAAGAGCACGGTGTCGTGGTGCGGGCCTGTAATTTCAGCACTCTGGGAGGCTGAGGCAGGAAGATCTCAAGTTCAAAGCTAGCCTGGGGACCTTAAGGATCTGGTAGGGACCTAGCGAGAACCTGTCTCAAATTTAAATAAATAAATAAATAAGAGGGCTGGGGATGTAGGTCAGAGTGAAGGCCCTTCATTCAATCCCCAGTGGGGGTTGAGGGGAGACTCAGGAGGGCCAGGCAGACAGAAGGACTTTGTGGAGGCGGTGGCAGCGCTTAATGCCAGAACCAAAGGCAGGCAGGACCGCACAGGGCGTGCCTTGAGTCTCAGTCCCCTTGGGGTGGAGAATGAAGGTCAGGTGCTCCTGACCCGGCCCCCTTCTCTCAGATGTGGAGCGGAGGAAGAGCCCGGTGTGCGGCTTCGTGACGCCCCTGCAGGGGCCTGAGGCTGACGAACACCGCAAACCAGAGGTAGCCGGGGCTGCGCCCACCGGGGTTTCAGGTGAGGGGCGGGACCGGGCGAGGGGACAGCGCCCAGTGTGGCCCCGCCCTGAGCCCCATCCCGTCCCCAGGCCGTCGTCCTGGAGGGGAATTACTGGAAGCGGCGCATCGAAGTGGTGATGCGCGAGTACCACAAGTGGCGCATCTACTACAAGAAGCGGGTCAGTGGCGGCTCGTGGCGGGAGCCCCGAGCGTCCTCGGCACTGCCAGCCCCCGGACCCCAGCGCGGACTCTCCAGGAAGTCCTGGGCGGACAGCGCCACCGTGTGGCCGCAGGCTCTCCTCGCAACCTGCTTACTCCTTCGCGCGGCTGGGGGTGGGGCAAAAGGGGGGAAATCCTTGGATGGGATGGTGGGAGGGGGAGATAGGGAGGGGACCCAATGTGCAACTCTGTCCCTGCAGCTCCGTAAATCCAGCAGGGAAGGGGATCTCTTGGCCCCCAAGCAGGTGGGTGCTGCGTAAGTCCCACAGGGCGGGGAATCTGGGGCCCTAGGTAGGTGGCACGCAGTGACAGTTTCCCCCTGGGCAGCCTGAGGACTTGCAGTGTCTGGGCGTGAGGGTGGGATGCAGGGGAGTGGGCGTGGCCACCGTCCTGGGGTGAATACTTGAGCGTTTTCCCCGTGAGAGGCAAAGTCGTGGGCAGACCCCAGGGGGCCCCTGAGCGGGTGGGAGGAGGCATGGGGGACGTGGCACCCTAAGGACCTCGGGGACAGGGCAAAACCCAGGAGCAGGAAGGAGACTGGGGGCAGGGAGTAGAGGCCCAGGGCCCACCTCAGCCTTCAGGCAGCAAACGCGGCAAGCGGGTGGTGCGCCTCAGGGGCCGAGGCCGTGGTCCCTGCTCTGTCTCTAGGCGGAAGGGGAGTGGCCGCCGCCAGAGCGATGGTGCCAGCAGCTCTTCTCCAGCGTGGTGCCCGTGCTGCTGGGGGGCCCCGAGGAGGAGCCCGGCGGGCGGCAGCTCCTGGACCTGGACTGCTTTCTGTCCGATATCTCCGACACGCTCTTCACCATGACACAGCCCAACTCCTCGCCCCTGCAGCTGCCCCCCGAGGACGGTGAGGGCCTGCCTCTGGGCATCGGGCAGGGGCAGGGGCAGGAGCACCTAAGACAGGGCGGGGACGGGGTAGGCACCCCACGACTCTACCCTGCCTGCTGCTCCTGACGTGGCCACTGCTCCTCCAGCCTACATCGGCAATGCTGACATGATCCAGCCGGACCTGACGCCCCTGCAGCCCAGCCTGGATGAGTTCGTGGAGATCTCAGGTGGGGCAGGGCCCTCCCCAGGAGGGAGACAGCCAGGGTCAGCCAGAGCTTCGGTGGGGAAGGCAATCTGGGTTATTTCTGAGTGATCTTTCTGGTCCTTCTTGACCTAAGCCCTGGGATGCGGTGCTGTGGCCTCTTGAGATGAAGGTGGGGCCAGAGCGGACCAGGGGACCAAGGGACCCAGGCTTTGAAGCTGCAGGAAAGCTGTGGATGCAAGACACCCTTAGGCGGGGCTGGGGATATAGCTCAGTGGCACAGTGCTTGCCTTGGAAGCATGAGGTCATGAGTTCAATTCCTGGTACCTCAAAAAAAAAAAAAAAAAGACTCTTTTAGGGGAGAGAAGCACTCGGATCTGTTTGGTTCTATTTACTATTTACATCATACATTTCTAAACGTATTTATTAAAGAACATTTCAAACATACACACAAGTAGAGAATAGGTCATCAAATCTCCACTGCACCAATGTCACCAACTTACCAACCCACAGCTGCTCCTGATTCATCTGGACTAGCCCTCTCCCGCTTTGTTTTGTTTTTTTTTTTTTTTTTTTTTTTTGGTTTTTGTTTTTGTTTTGAAACGGTCTCCGTATGTTGTGCACACTGGCCTTGAACTTATGTAGCCCAGGCTGCCATCAACCTCACTGCAGTTCTTCTGCCTCAGCCTCCCAAATTCTGGGATTACAGGCCTGTACCAACACACCTGGCTTTTCTTTGTTTTTTTGAGACAGGGTCTTGGCTATGTAGTTCAGGCTGGCCTCAAACGCCTGGTGATCCTCCTGCCTCAGCCTCGTGAGCACTGGGCTTACAGGTGTGTGCCACCATGCCCGGCTCATAAAGCATTTTTGTAAAGCAGTGAGTCTTCTGCCTCCTCACCTGCCCCTAATGCTACCAAGTTCCTGGTCCCCTGGTGTCTGTCCGGAGATCCTCATGCCAGTTTAAGCAGACCAGAAGGTCTTCGTTTTCGGAATGATTTCCGAAATCAGCCCGTTGCTGTCCTCGTTGCTGTCCTCACTGTGCTGTAGATTTTGCAGACTGTCCCTGTGTACAAACATTTAGGGGCCTCCAGAACCACGCTGGGGGACAGGTGGACTTCAGGGCTTAGCCGGGCCGAGGGACAGAAAGAGGGTCCTTGGCACAGAAGCTTCGTTCAGCGACCCTCCAACTCCTTCCCCACAGGGTCTTGAGCCTGTCAGTCAAGAGGTGGAGGCCTATGGGGCGGGGACTGGGGAATGAGGAACCTCCCCCAGCCCTGGAGGGTGGGGGCTGTCAGGGGCAGAAGTGTAGATGGCGGTGCCCTGGGAGCAGAGCAGCCAGGGAGGGCGGCCGCCCTGTCAGGGCACACAGGCCCCTGGCACAGGTAGGAGCCCACTGTGCCCATCTGGGCTGTGGGCAAAACCCAGAGACTGGGTTGCCCCTCCAAGGGCTGCTGGGTGTGGGCGTGTGGGGTCATGCAGAGGGGCGGCTGGTGTGGCCCTGCCAGGCAAGCGCTGCGAGTCCCCGAGAGACCCTCCCTGAGAGGTCGGGCTGGAGACCCCGTGAGGGGCAGCACGCAGTGGGCTAGGGGCTGGAGGAGGCCTGGGTGTGGAGAGCATGCCTGAGGGTTTGGGGTCAGGGCAGCGAGGGGAGCGGGGCCTGGGCAGAAGCAGTTGCTCTCAAGACAGGCTGGGGACAAGTGGACGGTCGTCAGGGGGCGGCAGGGACTGCCGGCTGAGGTGCACTTGTGACTCTACGCCCTCTGCCCGAGCCCTGGGGCTGGGCAACATGCTGAGCGGGGAGCCCAGTGTGAGGCTGGCTCTAAAGCCCTAGGCCTCAGGTGGCCTAGTGTGAAGGTCCCTGGTATGTGCGGAGACAAGGGTAGCGGATCAGTGACCACTGCCCGGTCCCACCCGTCCCTCTGAGAGAGCGGCAGCAGGACAGCAAGAAGCCACCTTCTAGTTGGGCATGGTGGTGTGTGCTGCCTATAAGCCCAGCATTCTGGGAGGCTGTGGCAGGAGGATCTCAACTCTGAGCCCAGCCTGGGTAACTTAGTGAGACTCTGTCTCAGTAAATAAATAAATAAATAAATAAATAAATAAATAAAGGGCTAGGGATGTAGCTCAGTGCAAAGGCCCTGTGTTTAATCTCCACGACAAAAAGAAAAAAGGAAAGGAAAAAAAGTTCTAACCAGACTTCTGACCAGATGCTGGCAAAGATACAGATGTGGGCGCAGAGCAGATAGGTACACACCATACTATCCCACCCCGACAGGGACTCAGAGTGTGGACGTGGGGACAGACATGGGGACAGACACACAGGCAGAGACTTCATGCATGACACCCAGGCCCAGGTCTTGTGAGGAGCGCAGCCACCTAAGACAGACAGACAGACACACCCACATACACACACATTCACGCGCGCATACACAGCTGATCCTGTAGGTCCTGGTTTCCGTGTGACCTGCTCTAATACTCTCCTGGCAGGGGCTGTGGAAGGAAATGAGGAGGGTTGGGCCCACGCCAGGCCAGATGGGAGCCAGCACGGGGGGTCTTGGGTCTGACCAGCCCCAGCGGCCTCGGGAACTGGCACTGGCTGGCCAGGGTCAGAGAAAGGTGCCCGGAAGGGAGCGGGCGGGCGGCGGCGGCGGCCAGCCCCGGGATGTGGTTAAGCCGCAGGCAGCTGCTTCCCAAAACCAGAATAGCCCGGGGCTTACACAACCGCACCCCAAATGCTCTGGCTGCCTGCCCCGAGCTTCTCCGGGCTTCGCAGCCCCCTTTGGACCCTGACTGCCCCCGCCTTGGGCCTCACCCCTCCCGGGCCGTGCCGGTACAGTCCCGCCTGTCCCCTTTCCCACAATCTGCCCTCTTGACCTTGGTCACCCCTAACTCACCCTGAACGCGCACCCCGGGGCTCCTCCCCTGCACCCCGCACCTTTCCCTCCCGGGACTTCTCTATGCCCCCACTTTCCAGACAGAGCTGGTAAGGGATGGATGGGGAACCTGGGACCCTGTGAGCCAAGCCTGGGGCTGCAGGAGGGGGCTGCTTCCTGGGGACCCTGCTCAGCGCTTCCCAGCGGCTCCGTCTCCACTCTGGCCCCTGCACCCCACTGTCTGTCTGCTTCCCCTGAGCCAGACAGAAGCTCCCCCAGTTTCACAAGCGTCTGTGGAAGCCCCCCCGCTGAACCCCACCCCACCCTGGGTACAGGCCCCAAGGCCAGCTGAGTCCTAATGACCACCGCCTTGTGTGTCCACATCACAGGTTTCTTCACCAACTACCGCCCCCCACAGACGCCCACGGCTTTGAACTTCATGGAGTCCCCCAGCTTCACCCCGATGGCTGACTCCAACTTTGGCAGTGGGATCCTGGCCCCAGGGGTGCCCCCGGCTTCCTCGGGGTTGCCCTACCTCCCAGGACAGAACCGCATGCAGGTGAGCTGTCCTGTCGCAGTGGCCTGCCAGGGTCACCTCCGGCTCAGCCCGTGTGCCCTTTCCGAAAACCCAGTCTCCCATGTGGCCAGGCAGAAGGCCCCTCCGGCAAGATGGAGGTGGGGCAAGCTGAGGGCGGCAGAACCCCGGGGCTGGGCTGCTGGTGGAAGGCTTCCTGGAGGAGGGCAACTCTGGGCCTTCGTGAACCGGTTGGGTTTGGGCAGAAGAGACTGGTAGAGGGGAAGCCAGTTGGAAGGACTCCCTGGAAGGGACGCTTTGGAGGCAGGAAGCTGAGCACCCTTTTAGGGAACTGAATGGACCGTTTCATACATGGAGTCCTGGGCCCAGTTCCCACGCGCCTCCGCGCTGCTGCGTTAGGTGCCTTTCGCCTTCACCACAGACTGGGCAGGTGCTATGATAGACGGTTTGGTGCCTTGGTGCCTCTGTCCTCCCTCCAGCAACACTGCGCTCCCTGCTGGCAGGGCTGTTCACTGGCTCTTCGGTGCCTAGCACGGTCCAGGCACATAGTGGCCCTCAGGAAGGGGTGTGCAGTAAGTGAGCAAGCAAGGGGATGGGTGAGTGTACGGGCAAACGGAAGGATGTGTTATAGATGGTGGTGCGTCCGTGTGTGGGTTGGTGAATATATAGGTAGATGAGTGGTTGGTGTGTGGGCGGCTGGTGGATGGATTTATAGATGTATAAGTAGTTTGGTGGATTGGTGAAGGGGCTGGTGGGAATGACTGGTGAATGTACAGATGATGGATGGATGGGGAGTGGGTGGATGATTGGGGTGTGGGGTACCCCAACATTGGAGTATGGGCTACCCGAGATGGGTGGATGAATGGATAGGTGGGTGGCTGAATTATGGATGAGCTGGTGAATAGCTTAGTACCTGGTAAGCTGGTGTTGGGTTAGGTGAGTGAACCAGCCCACAGCTGAGAATAACCAGGAAAATGGAGAGGGGGTAGATGGACAGACGGATGGATGGATGGATGGATGGGTAAATGATGGATAGATTGGTAGATGAATTAGTGGATAGACAAAGAACGGATGAGTGGATTGGTTAGCAAAAGGAGTGTTGGTTAAATGAGAAGATAGTTAAATTGGCAGATGAATGAATGGGCAGGAAGATTGATGGGCTTCGTGATGCTTAATTTGCACATAAAGGCATTCCACTCCCTCCGCTCATTAATGATAGTTTCCGCGTGCATGTGTGCGCATGCGCGTGAGCTGGGCCACAAGGATCCTTTCTCCTGTCTCTCCCCAGCACCCAGTCCAGAGCTCAGCGAGGGCAGGAGGCTGCCTGAGTGGCTGCGAGCACAGCCCTTTCCCCTGCTGAGTGTCTCTCTACCCCAAACCAGGCTCGGAACAGCTGCCCTGGGCCCTTGGACCCCAGCGCCTTCCTGAGTTCTGACTTCCTCCTTCCGGAAGAGCCCAAGCCCAAGCTCCCACCACCTCCTGCACCACCACCCCTCCTCCAGTACCCCGCCCCTGACAAGGTGCCGGGCCTGCAGCCCTGCACCCCACCTCCCTTCCCTGACGTAGCTTCAGCCCCCGCTTTGCTGCAGGAAGAGCCCCTCTTCTCAGCCAGGTTCCCCTTCCCCACAGCCCCGCCGGCCCCAGGAGCATCCCAGCTGCCTGCTCCCGCAGCCTTCCCAGCCCCGGCGGCACCGCCTATCCCCGGCCCTGGCCCAGGCCACACCCCCTTCCCCATAGACCCTCTGCCCTCGGGGTACCCGGAGCCCGGCTTCAGCAGTCACTTCGCAGTGCCTCAGGGGGTGCAGCCCAGGGGAGAACCCCTTGCCCGACCCCCTAGGGGACGGAAGACCAGCCCCCCCACTTTGGCCCCTGCCACTGCCCCCGGCAGCAACCCCTGCCTCACGCAGCTGTTGAGGACAGGTGAGAGGGGACAGAAGGTGTTGGGGACCAGCCCTGGGAGGAGGTACTGGGGGACGGCAGGGGCTTTTAGGGGCAGGAGGGCGTCCTGAGCAGTGGCGGGGTTGGGCCAGCCCCAGCGCCCCTCACTGTCCCCCTGTGCACAGCCAAGACCGAGCCTGCCCTGGAGCCACCGCTTGTGCCCAGCGCCCTCCTCCGGTCCCCGGGCCCCCCGGTAAGATGGTGGGCAGTGGGAGGTGGGAATGAGCCCAGGGCCTTCGCTCCAACTTTCAGCCCTTCTGCACCCCAGCAGGAGACGGTCCCTGAATTCGCCCATGCCTTCTTCCCCTCGCCCCCGGCCCCTACGCCTCCCCGGCCACCTCCCGGCCCAGCCACACTGGCCCCTCCGAGGCCCCTGATTGTCCCCAAAGCAGAGCGGCTGTCACCCCCAGCGCCCAGCGGTAAGGACAGGTCACAGGGAGTGGAGGTACCCAGGAGAGAGAAGAGAAGAAAGAAGGGGGAACTGTGCCTGGGGCCACAGTGAGAGGGACAGGGCGACAGGACCCTCTGTCCTGTGTGTCGGTCTGTCTGGGGCTCCGTCTGTCCCCACCACAGGCAGTGAGCGGCGGCTGTCCGGGGAGCTCAGCTGCCTCCCAGCTCCCGGGGCCCCGAGTGTGGGCGTCTCTCCCCCGCAACCCGTTCTGTGCCGGGCCCGGCCAGACAACAGCAAGGTGAGAGCTGTCCCCGCCCCAAGATGGGTTTGCCCCCGACTCTCCTGAGCTCCTTCCTGGGCTCACCCCGCTGTGCGCCCCCAAGACTGAGAACCGGCGTATCACGCACATCTCGGCGGAGCAGAAGCGGCGCTTCAACATCAAGCTGGGCTTCGACATCCTTCACAGCCTTGTGAGCACACTCAGCGCCCAGCCCGGCCTCAAGGTGAGCCCCCGCCCGGACTGGTACCCCAGAACCCCTCCCGGACCCCTACCCGAGACCAGACCGCAGAGCCCGCAGCAACGTGGGTGTCGTGGCCTCCAGCACTTAGGCCCGCTCTGGTGGCGCCTGCAGGTGAGCAAGGCGACCACGCTGCAGAAGACGGCCGAGTACATCGCCATGCTGCAGCAGGAGCGCACGGCCCTGCAGGAGGAGGCCCAGCAGCTGCGGGACGAGATCGAGGAGCTCAACGCCGCCATCAAGTAGGCTGGGCCCAGGCAGGTGCCGGGCAAGGGTGCGAGTGGCTGCCAGGCCCCTGGCCCTTGACCCACCCGTGCCCGCAGCGTGTGCCAGCAACAGCTGCCCGCCACGGGGGTGCCCATCACGCACCAGCGCTTTGACCAGATGCGAGACATGTTTGACGACTACGTCCGGACGCGCACGCTGCACAACTGGAAGTTCTGGGTTGTATCCACGCTTGGGGCTGTGGCCTGGGGGCAGCAGGGGGAGGCGGGGATCGGGGCAGCCAGACTCAGCGTGCCCAAGAAAGCAGGCTCAGCTCCACGGCCTGGGGGAGCGGCTATGATCCTGTCTCCCAGGCCACCCGCTTCCAGGTCTGTGGCCAGCAGTGTTGCCCCGGGATGGGCTGACGGCTGAGAGGGAGCCTCGATTGGGGATGTGGCAGGAAGAGTCCCTGAGTGAGGGCCTAGAGAAGATGCGGAATCCAGCCAGTGTATTTCCAGCACTCTGGGAGGCTGAAGCAGGAGGATCACAAGTTGGAGTCCAGCTTGGGCAACTTAGAGACTTACCCAGATCCTGTCTCAAAATGAAAAATTAAAAGGGCTGGGGATATAGCTCAGTGCAAAGGCCCTGGGTTCGATTCCCAGTACTGGGAAAAACAAAATCCATTCCCTTACCTGACTCAGGGCTCGGGTTCTTGACTGGACTAGGGTAGGCAGCCCAGTGATGGGGGGCAGTCTGACAGGCTAGGGAGCGAGCAGGTGGGAGTGCTGAGATCCACAGCCTGGCTGGGAGGACAGGGAGGGGGTGCGGCAGGAGTCCGTGCAGCCCCGGGCTGGGTCAGGGATCAGGGGTCCACGTGAGGTGGTGGTACCTTCTGGACCACAGGCTGCTCCTTGACCCGGGCCCAGTTCAGCGTCCTCATCCGGCCTCTGTTCGAGTCCTTCAATGGGATGGTGTCCACCGCAAGCCTGCACAGCCTCCGCCAGACCTCGCTGGCCTGGCTGGATCAGTACTGCTCCCTGCCTGCTCTCCGGCCCAGTACGTGAGCTCCTGCCTGCCCAGCCCTGGGGGTGCCAGGCTCTCTGCCCTGCCCGGACCCTGCAGCCCCTGCCCCACACCCCTCTGCAGAGTGGCTGCAGCCAGAGTCCTGGGAGGGCTGGCAGGCTGGCCCACCTGCGTTTCCCCGGCGTCACTTGGACTTTAGCGCTGATCTCAGAGGTGCCTCTCTCTGTCTCTCCCCAGCTGTCCTGAACTCCCTTCGCCAGCTGAGCGCGTCCACCAGTATCTTGACTGACCCAAGCCGCGTGCCTGAGCAGGCCACGCGGGCAGTCACGGAGGGCACCCCGGGCAGACCATTATAGCGCTGGCACACCCTCCAGGCGCTCTCCTCTTGCCCCAGGCCCTGGCTGGTGCCTTCCTGGTATCCCTGCCTCTTGGAGGCTGAGAAGAGCCAAGGAGCTCCGTTCCCCTCTGCTTCTGCCCTTGGCGACTTGAAACCCCTCTGGGGGGTGGGGAGCACACAACCAACATGGACCTGCGGACTTAGCCGCCATGACACTGGGCAACTCGGGGAGCTCAGAGGAAGGCAGGGGGTAACACTGACTTGGGGTCACTCCTGCCTGCTCCCTGCAGGGGACGCTAGGCTCCTGCAGGGTGGCTTCCCCTGAGCAAGGCCTGGAAGGGTAGAGGCCAGGGAGGGCCAATGCCAGGGCATCTTGTGTGTGTGCGGATGTGTGAGTGTGAGTTTTGTAAAGAATTCTTGAACAATAAAGGTAAAAACTGTCCGTCAGTGTGTCGCCGTGACTGCCAATGTGTCTCACCCTGGCATGGGGAGAGCCGGCGACAATGGGAGGTAGCTCTGTGGGGGCCTTGTAGGCCTGGAATCCACTCTAGCTTTCACTCTGAGCTGGAAGCTACCGGAAGGCTTTGGGTGCATGTGGGACGCAATGACATGGGACTTCTTTCCAGGAACCCGGCAGAGACCCAGTCAAGAACAGGTGGCAGAGCCAGGTGTGGTGGTGCATGGTTGTAATCCCAGCACTTGAGAGGCAGAGGCAGGAGGATCACTGCAAGTTTGAGACCAGCCTGGGCTCTATTGTGAGTTCCAGGCCAGCCTGAACTACAGGGTGAGACCCTGTCTCAAAAAAAAACAAAAACAAGGAGGAAGCAGGAAGACCAGTCAGCGGGCATCCTCCCTGCACAGCCAGAAGGCTCTGAGGGGCTCCGCTGCCATCCGAGTTGGAAGCAGGTAGAGCTGGGCCCAGGAGTGGAGATGACAGGGTGACGACACAGAAGAACCATCCTGAGAGAAAATGTGCTGCCGCTGGACAGCCGTGAGGCTGGGATGTCTTGCCAGGAACTGAGACTTCAGGTGGGGAGTTGGAGTAGCAGGCTGCAAAGGCCCTATGACTATTCATTGTTTTGTTTATTCATTTAACAAATAGCTCCTGAGGGGCTGTTCCAGGCCAGCTGGTGGTCCTAGCTCTGTGGGTCCTGTTTATTGAGGAATCCCTGCTGTCATGGAGCCAACTTCCAAACTCTTCCAATTTTCCACACCATCTCTCCATATCTACAGATATTTTCAGATAAAAACAGCAGGCAGCAGCTGCGTGTGTTGGCGCACGCCTGTAATCCCAGGATTCAGGAGGCTGAGGCAGGAGCATCGCAAGTTTGAGCCCAGACTGGGAAATTTAATGAGATCCTGTCTCAAAATAAAAAGTATAAAATGTCTGGGGATGTAGCTCACTGTGAAGACCTTGGTGCACAAAAATAAAACAATCCCTAGTACACAAAAATAACACATCCCCTTGGTATTGAGTTCTCCCCCCCCCCTGCTGCCATTAGTGTTTTTTTTTGTTTTGTTTTGTACCAGGAATTGGACTCAGGACCTCATGTTTACCAGGCAGGCACCACACTACTGAGCTATAATCCCTGGCTGAGCTGTATCTCTGGCCCTTTTTAGTTTTTTTTGAGACAGGGTCTCGCTATGTAGTTCAGGCTGGCTTTGAACTCACTATGGAGCCCAGGCTGGCGTCAGATTTGCAGTGATCCTCTGTCTCAGCCTCCCAAGCACTGCAGTTACAGGCATGTGCCACCACACCTGGCAGTTGTGTCTCCTTCTCGATGGCTTCTGCGCTTGAGAGTATTCACACTGTCTCCTCCTCCTCCTTCTCTTCCTCTTCCTTTCCTTCCTCCTCCTTTTTCCTTCAGTACTGGGGATTGAACCCAGGCCTACTTGAACTACATCCCCAACTTCTAAAACAAATTTTTTTTTAGAATTCCAGGAAGACAGTGGAGAGGTAAGCACCAACAAATCAACTTCCTCATGATTTGGAATACAGACACTGGAAAATAACTTAGGAAAAGAAAAGAAGGAGAGGAGCTGGGCATGTGGAGCACACCTGGGATCCCAGTACTCCAGAGGCTGAGGCAGGAGGATCACTGAGCGTTCCAGGGCAGCCTGAGCTACATGGTGAGTTGAAGGCCAGCCTATACTACATGGTGAGACCCTGTCTCAAACAAACAAATAAATGAGGTAGATGAATGCCTGGGACCCAGAAAGGATCTGAAGGGAAAATTGGAGCCCACAGAGGAGGTGAGGAGACAGACCTCAAAGCAGAAAAAGGGAGAGGTGATCGGTACTTTCTCCCCAGCTCCTGGCTTATGATGTGGGAAGGGAAGGCAGAATCTACAGACTGTGGAAGCAGGTGACTCCAGAGGGCTCCAGGGAAAAACGCAACAGCGGAATTGAGCAGTGCTGTGCAAAACAACAGCTGGTGAGTGACTCCGGTCCGAGCGACTGCTGTGTCCCCTGGAGAGGGAGCTGGGCCGGACGCCGTTTTAGGGAGGGGCAGCTGAACCTGGGACTCGGAGCAGCTGGGGTTGGCCTCATCTCAGGGTTCCCAGTGTTAAAATCCCACAGACACTGCGTCAGCACAGGGACGTCCACAGGGGATGTCCCAGCTCAGGGAGCCATGGTCAGGCCAGCAAGAGTCACTGAGAGTGTTATAAGATAAAAGAGTCCGGCACCAGCCAGTGACCAGAGGCCGGGTCAGCCTGCACTTCTGTGGATTTGAAAGTACCATAACCGGCACCTGCCCTGTTCCTACTGCAGGCTTGTGGGATTATCAGGCACGCATCTGGGCTCTGTCTGCGGCCTTTGTCTACCAGCAAGAGCAGAATCACGCCCTGAATTGGACACTGCTACAAAACTGTGGAACCCAGAAGATAACCACAGGCTTGAAATCATGGAGAAAAAAAAATACGTTGTCCATTTGGTTTTTTGGTTTTTGATTGTGTGTGTGGGTGTGTGCATTGTTTTTAGTTGTTTGGGTTTTTTTTTGTTGTTCTTGTTTTTATTCTTTCTTTCCCTTCTGTCTTCTTCACCAGTTTCCTGAGGCTTGGTTAATCTGATCTTTCTTTGTCCTTAAGCCTTACTTCTGTTCTCTTTCTCTTATTTCTCTATTTTTTTCCCTCTTATCTCTTTAAAATTTTCCCCCCTTAGGGTAAAATCACTCTACTGAGTGGATATTTACTGTATATAATTTTCTGATTTGCCTTAGTTTTTCTTATAAAACTATAAATCTTGTACCTGTGGTTAAAGGCAGCAAATTACTAGTTATCACAGTCTGGCATTTTCCAGTCTGTGCTTGATGCTATTGTTATTACTGACTGTACTACTTTAGCCAAGGTGACAGATTTGTTGGGATCAATTGATTTTCCTTGTATGCCAATACCCAGATGTCTGGGGGGGGTTTGTAAACAATACTATAGTCCAGTACCAACAAACTGGGTGCTAGGCTCGATAGACCTTTCACCATTAATAAATTGAAGAGGTGGGACCCTCAGACAGACTCAAAAGCCAAAAGCCAGTTACACCTAGAAGACATCTCTGAAAAGTAGTGATTTCCTAAAGAGGTCTTGATACTAGTAATAAAGCTACCTACCATAAGCAGTTTACAAGCCTCAGTGCAGAAAAAAAAAAAAAATAGAAAATGAGAAAACACAGGGCAAGATGCAACCCTTAAACCCCAACTGGCCCATGGCAAATCATAGGGACATTGAGGTGGGAGAAATAAAAAACCACTCAGATAAATTTTATAAAATGGTAGTGGTGGAAGTAACAAAATGGATGAATAAACATCTTGATAAAACCAAAACAGAGATAATGAAAGAATTGATGACCATAGTGAAGGAAATGGTTAGTGAATCTAGAATAGATACAGATTAAAAAATAGAGGAGCTTAGGAAAGACACGGAAACCATGAGGCCCAACATAGAAAAGGACTGGATTCCATAACACAAACTCAAATAGAAATCCAGGAGATTAAAAATTCTACTGAAAGTATATGCAGCAGAGTCAAACAATGTGAAGACAGACTGTCAGATCTAGAGGACAGGGTTGTGGTTTCCAAGCATAGAAAAAAATTTGAGATACAAATAAGTGAGTCATATAGAACCCTAGATAACCATGATCAAAAAATCTACACCATGGCATATAATAGTCAATATTCCAGGAATTAACACAAGAACAGAATATTAACAGCTCTTAGAGAAAAGAAACAAGTTGCCTATAAAGCAAAATCCATCAGAATCATAGCAGACTTTGCAGCACAAACCCTTAGGTGAAGGAGAGATTGAAGCAAAGTATTTCAAGTCCTACAACAAAACACTCTTCAACCCAGATTGATGTACCCTGCAAAACTATCTTTTAAAATTGATGGAGAAATAAACTTCCATGATAAAGAACACTTGAAGAAACTCATTACCCCAAACTGGCACTCCAAAAAGTTCTGAAGGCTGTTCTACAAAAAGACAATGAAGACAATAACTCCAAAATCCCAATAGAATGAACCCACCAGGCAAGGCAAGCAATTAAACAGAGGGAAAGAAAAGAACCAACACCAGGAAAATAATATGACCAGGATAAATTGGTACATATCAGTTAAAATCATCCATGGGAATGGTCTCAATTCACTAATCAAAAGAAATGCTGGCAGGATGGTTCAAGAAGCAAGATCCAACAATATGCTGCATACAAGAAATACACTTAATTGAAACAGAAGTTCATAGACTGAAAGTCAAGGGATGGAAAACAATACTCCATTTGACAGGAACACAGAAAGAAGCAGGGGTAGCTATTCTGTCTGCAGACAAAATAGATTTCAAGCCAAAACTGATCAGAAGAGACAAAGAAGGTCACTACATACTTGTTAAGGGAACAACCCACGGGGAAGAGATAACAACATAAATGTATATGCACCAAACACCAGTGCACCCAATATATAAGATGAACACTAATGGATATGAAAAATCAGGTAAGCACCAGTACTATTGTAATAGGGGACCTCAATACCACACTATCACAAATAAATTACACACAAAAAAAATTTTTTAAATATCAGACCTGAACCAAATCTTTGAACAAAAAGACCTAGTAGCTACCTACAGAATGTTCTACCCAGCAACAGAATACATATTCTTCTTAGCAGCACATGGGATATTCTGCAAAATAGACCACATACCAACTCACAGAACATGCTTAAGTAAACGCAAAAGAACTGAAATTATCCCGTGCATATTATCAGATCATAGTGCAATGAAATTAGAAATCAATGGCAAAAGAAACCACAAAAACTACATAAACATGTGGAAATTAAATAACACCCTCCTGATCAGTTGGTCACAGATGAAATTAAAGTAGAAATTAAACAGTTTCTACAATTATATGATAATGCTATACAACATACTGGAACTTATGGGATGCAATGAAAGCAGTCCTAAGAGGGAAATTGTTTTTTGTCTTTTTGAGACAAGGTCTCACTATGCAGTTCAGGCTAGTCTTGAACTCACTTTGTAGCCCAAGCTGGTCTTGAACTTGCAACGATCCTCCTGCCTCAGCCTCCTGAGTGCTGGGATTACAGGTGTGTGCCACCATGCCTTACTCTAAGAGGGAAATTTATAGTATTGAATTCCAACATCAGACAAAGAGATAAATAGCTTAACATTGAACCTCAAGCTTCTAGAAAAAGAAGAGTGAGTTCAATCCAAAGTGCATATGAGAGAAAAAAAAAATATAAAGATCAGAGGAGAGATTAATGCAATTGAGAGAAAGTAATACAAAGAATCAACAAATTGAAGAGCTGGTTCTTTGAAAGATTAGAAATCTTAAAATAGACAAACCCTTAGCCAACCTTTTAAAAATGAGAAGAAAAAAAAAACCCCAAATCCATGCAATTAGGAATGAAAATGGCAAAATCACAATGGATCCTGCAGAAATTCAGAAGATTATCAATGCTTATTTTGAGAACCTGTACTCTAATAAGATGGAAAATGTAAAAGAATTGGACAGGCCAGGCGTGGTGGTGCAAGCCTATAATCCCAGTACTTGGGAGGCTGAGGAAGGAGTATTGGTGTGAGTTTGAGGCCAGTCTGGGCTACATAATGAGTTGAAGGCCAGCCTAAGCTGCATAGTGAAACTGTTAAAAAACAAACAAAAACAAAAAACCAGATTCTTATATACATATCAATTACCAAGACTGAATCAAGAAAATTAGAAAAATTCTAAATAACACAGGATCAATTAATAAAATAATTTTTAAAAAATTACCAACAAAGAAAAGGCCCAGGTCATGAGGGATTCACTAATGAATTCTACAAGAACTTTAGAAAAGATCTAGTACCATTACTCCTCAAACTCTTTAATGAAACTGAAAGTGAAGCAATACTCCCAGTCATTCTTGGAAGCAAGCATTACCCTGATACCAAATCAGAGAAGGATCCAACCTAAAAGGAAAACTACAGGCCAGTTTCCTTAAAGGACTTAGGTGCAAAAATCCTCAATAATAAGGGCTGGGGATTTAGCTCAGTGGCACAGCACCTGCCTGGCAAGTGCAAGGTTGTGAGTTCGATTCCCAGTACCAGAAAAAAAAAAAAACAAAACAACCCAAAAATCCTCAGTAAGATACTGGCAAACTAAATGCAGCAAATTATCAAGAAGATTATACACCAGGACCAAGTTGGATTCATCCCAGGAATGCAAGGCTGGTTCAACAT